CAGGAGGAGATAAGTAGAGTGTTATGCAGCAATGGCTAAAGAGCAAGGATCTGCTATGGCATCGAAAAAGACAAAAAGCCTCAATACACGTTGCAGTAGATTCAGGAAATTTTTTGCATTGTTTGTTTCAATAAAAAACACAAGTCTTGTCGCGTAGAAACGTAATCTCTTTAAGTTATAGTTTACTAATTACTTATAAATTAATTCTATTATTTATATGTTTGTTCTGAGAAGGGTTATAGTTTAGTTTTAAGTGAGACTTTTATAATGTTCTGTCTATTGAATAAACACAAAAGAATCGATCTCGCAAAAAAGGAGTGGTGAAAAAACCTTGACGCGCATGCGCGTCAAGATGTCGCCAATGGGTTAATTGAGCGAATAGCAACGATCAATGGGTTCACCTCAAAACCCCGATGCATTGAATAACGTGACAGCATCGCGCCGTGTGAATCCTTGCGTTGCTTTGGCGGCGGCGCCTTTCCGCCGATGTACGCCAAAACGTCGGCAATACGCCAACGCAAACCCTGAACACAGCCCATAAAGCGGTAAGAAATCGCAGTTGAAATTTGGATATAAATTGAATTTTCGCTCTCGAACGTTTCTTCATTGAACCAGGGAGCCTGCATCTTTACAGCACTCAGTATTCATTACTTATTACTAGGAACAAAATAAAAATATTACTAATCGGATTAAAACAAGCTAAACAACATCCAGGAATGATCTATCATCAGTTTATCGTTATAACACAACAGCCAAGAACAAGATGCCAGAAAAATAGACATAACATGAACAAATGAAAACAATTTTGATAATAAACCGAGAAAAATAATGAAACAATGGAGTCCGCGAAACTGGTATATACTTTCAATAAAATTTCCGGAACAGTTCGCTCGAGACCATTCACAACAAGGTTCTAAAATTCATGGAATTCTCAGTCAGAGCCAGATTCTCCACTCAAAACAGTAATTCATACAAATGGAATTAGAAAATACGAATGTAAATTATAAACAAACAATTTTGAGTGCATTCAACAAATGTGCAAAAGTAAATCAGCAAAGAACGTCGCCTCAATAAAAACCTGCTGCTTTGAATTGATCCCATGCCGATGAGCTTAGGAACTGTCTCGATTTCTCCGCCGGTCTCCCCTCTGAAATAATTTCAATAAGAAAGTAAACGTGGACAACCCAACTGGAGCTGCCAAATAATTATGTTTTTCCGAAAAAAACTAATTGAGGCGCATTCTTCACTGTGAATGAGGGGGATGACGACCACAACAATGAAGAACAATGCCAAATTATGGGCAAACTTTTAGCCTCGGACTACAGTCAAGAACTACTTCTGCTTTTCGAGCAACGTACTCTTACACTACCGCAACCCCGCTTGTCCCCGCCTTCTCGAAATTATTGGGGGATCCTTCTAAGGTGCCTGAAAAGCACGAACACGAGTTCGTATCCCATCTGAGGCCGAAGTTCTGCCCAATTCGCCAATCTTATAAGATTTCCGTGTGAAGGTGTGAAAAGAAGCTTGCGGATTCTTTCAAAAATTAATAAAATAATAAAAAAAATAATAAAACAATAATGGAAAGATACCTCGCGTCCACGCGAACGCTCTTCACTTCTTCGGCGTTCCCTGGAACTTCTTCTGCGATATTTTTCACTATCTCTGTCACGATCACGTCGAGAGGACCTATCAGAACTTCTCTTCTCGTCTTCTTCATCCCTTCTTCGTTCTCGTTCATCATCGCTGTCGTCGGATCGACCTCGTTTATCCTGGCAAGAAAATTTCTGGTGTGTATAATTTAAGGACCAACTTCTGAGTTCAGAAATAAATTTCAACTTCACTATTCAAAACCTTTCTGTCTAGCAACTTTTTCTTTTAGAAAATCATTGGGAATACCTCGCGCCTATGTGATCGTTCTCGTTCACTGCTTCTTCTCCTTTCCCTCGAACTCCTTGAACGATATTTGTCGCTGTCTCGATCATCTGATTTGTCCTTGTCCCTCCTTGCTTCTGCGTCATCTTCTCTCTTCTCCTTCTTTGCATCTGCTTCATCTTCTCTTTTTTCCTTCTTCGCTCCAGGTTCGCTTTCTTTCTTTTCAGTTTTTGAATCTGCTTGATCTTTTTTCTTTTCCTTTTTCGTATCTTCATCAGTTTTCTTTTCTTTCTTTGCTTCTGCTTCAACATTTTTCTTTTCCTTGCCTGTTGAGCCGTCGGATTTTTCACTGCGTTCTTCTCGCGACTGAATTCAGATATATTAAAATGTAGTTGACGTAATTAACAATACGAATGGCCAAAGATAAATACCTCGCGCCTACGAGAACGTTGTTCATCTTTCTCATCTTCTTTAGAACTTGAAGTCGAGCGTTTTTTATCGCCATCCTCTTGATGATCTCTGTCCGATGTTCTCTTCGTCCGCTCTTCATCCTTTTCGTGCTTGTCTTCGTCCCTCTTACTTCGCTTATCATCCTTTGATTTATGTCCCTGAAAAAGCTAGTGCTCATGAACTGTTCCACGCTCCAGGAATTGAGCTACCACGAGGTGGTGTAATGAGACAGATATGGTGTTTCATAAATACAAGGAAAAAAATCAAACAAATTCTGGATAAACGAAAGAGGTCACCTCACGATCATGAGCATCTTCACTCTTACGACTCTCTTTTGAACTCCTCGTGCGACGTTGATCGCTTTCTTCACGTGTTTTGTCCGCGTTTCTTGTTTTTTCGTCGCCCTTTTCGTGCTTATTAACTTCCTGATCCTTGTCCTATAAAACCCGAATTGACAGCAGCTCAAGGAGGTAGAACCCTACATTAGTATTACATCTCAGTTCACGATATTTTTCAAGTACTTTGTTCAGTGAAGTAATGAAAGTGATGGTGGTGCAGAAGAATGCAGAGGAGGTTACCGAAAAAGTTACCTCTGAACGATCAAATGTGTCGAATGTGGGGTGGATCTCAAAATTCCTCGACACTAGATATAGGGCAAGAGGCGAACAGAAATACCTGATGCCACTCCGAAACTTTTTTTTAAACAAATCGAATATGCATCACCTTGGGGTTATTATATTGTACTGTATTACTATATTACGAAAAAAAACCTTCCGTCGGATACACAACAAGGAAGAATAATTCAGAGAACTACCTCTCGATCCGCGGCATGTTCTTCACTTCTCTGACTATCGCGTGAACTTCTTGAACGACGTTTATCACTATCACGACTTCGACGCGGCATGTTCTTCACTTCTCTGACTATCGCGTGAACTTCTTGAACGACGTTTATCACTATCACGACTTCGACTATCACCAGAAACCTTCGCTGTTTTATCTTCCTTTTCGTCTTCCTCTCGTTTGTGAGACTCCTGTAAATTTCAGTAGTTTTATAACGACAATGACTTTCTTCTAAACGGAAAATCTTTTGTCAAGTCGGAGCTTTCGAAAACCTATTCTAAAAATTGTTACCTCATCATTTTGTGAAACCTCTTGACTCCTGTAAATTTCAGTAGTTTTATAACGACAATGACTTTCTTCTAAACGGAAAATCTTTTGTCAAGTCGGAGCTTTCGAAAACCTATTCTAAAAATTGTTACCTCATCATTTTGTGAAACCTCTTCGTGGCTGCCATTCTCCTCCAGATTTTCGAATGAAGGCTCTTCAGTATTCTTTTCGGCCTCGTCGTTGTCAGAAGCCCTATCTTCTTCCTCATCTCCATGTTCTTCATCAACATGTTCTTCCTGCTTGTCATCGTGCTCTTCCTCTTGTAGCTAAATCACGAACTACCAACCGGAAATTACTAGTCTCACTGCCATTTTACCCCAAAACGGAGCTATAGCTGTTGGCGAAATTCAAATCAGACTTGTAACCCGTGAGGCAACCCGAATATCGGTTTCCTTGTAAGATTTTACAGAAATGAACACCATTCAATCATCTGAACATACATCATCTTCTTCTTCATGCGAATCGTCATGTTCGGCGAACTTCCTTCGTTCGAGTTCTTCCCTCCTTCTCTCCTTATCTCGTTTTTCCTGGGAACAAAAGGATTATATTACATTGAAGTGATTTTTGAAGAGGTTGCGTCAATAAAAATTCAAAGGATATTTTCAAAGTTTGCTCACTAAATTTTCCCGAGCGATCCTCTCCTGCTCCTCCCTTTCTCTTGCTGCTCGCTCTTCTCTTAGCTCCATCATTCTTTTCAAGGAAATCAGCTTCGCCTACGATATAAACGTAAAAAAAAAATCAAAAAAGTATTAAAAAAATAGGGAGAAATCAATAAGTGAAGAATTAGATCAGCCCAGGAAAGTCCCCACCTCTTCACGCTTCCAATGAGGTGGCGTTTTGTCGCGGAACTGAGAAGTAAACCGCATCTGACCTCTTCCTTTGACTTTAATCGGCTTCTCCGGTGGCGCGCGTTCGCTTCTTCCCTGCGAAATAATCCCCCGAATAGAATTCTTCAAATTTAACTCCAAATAGATTCCTCCAAATTCAACTCCAAGGGAGGCCTTACCGAACGTCGGCGTGATCTGGAGCGGGATCTTCTCCTGTGATGCGAACGAGAACGTGATCTCCTTCTATGTGAAGAATGAGAGCGTGATCTTCTCCTACGTGAACGTGAACGCGATCTTCTTCGTTCTGGTGAGCGTGTTCTAGATCTTTTTCTTTTTCTGTCGCTCTGAAATTGCCACGTAAGCTTTTTCGACAATCGATTTAATTCTGAATAAATTCATAATAGAAAAGGTATGCTCAACAGAGAAAAGCACGAACCTCACGTGTTTTGTCTTTCTTGGCAGTTCCCCCATTTTCCTAAAGCAAATAAATCCATCTTCCTAAATGCAAAACAAATGAATATATTCCCCTCTCTCGATGAACATAAAAAGCGTACACATCGATGAAGAAGGACACTTCATTAAACTCAGAAAGAGGGAAGCATTGTGAAAATGAGTCTGAATACACAGTAGCGGTTTCTCCAGCATTAAAACCATGATTTGGCAATACTACTTTTCCGACTCAGATCAGCTTTCATGCAGTGATTGCAAAAAACCAACAAACCGGCTTGTTTAGAGACTAACGTTGAAGACTCTCACATGTACTCCTGGACACCACGTATGTATGTAGATTTTTGCAGAAACAATTCATGTCTAGACTTATAACGGAATTACAAGGACAATCGCTGCACTATTTCTCACTTCCACACAGTAAGCAAGCAATTTCCAAAATCCCAAAGATTACGCGACCAAACTATGGTTTGTTGTGCCCTCCTGGGCATCCATTTTGTTATTCATCAGGTCAGCTTTTGCAGTAACAAACATTATCAAGCGCCTCAGCCCGCGAATGAGAAAAGTATCCACAATGACGATAAGTTATAATAAGAACGGTCTCCTTCGAGCAAATCGTACTAGTATTAATACATTTCAGATCCCTGGGTGACTCATAACAGAACTGAAGCCTTAGTTATAGCATATGTGTAAAGTTTTCCGACACTCAAAATTCTAGCATTGTGGACGTCAAGGAAGTACAAAGGTGGTCAGACCAGCCCAAAGCTAGGGCGAATATAAACGGCCCAACAGAAAAAAATTGTTTCGGTTAAAGCGTTTCCAAAATGACGAAACCCAGGGGATCACCAAAGATCGATTCGACATAAAGTTAGTAACTCCCACACAAACGCAAGGTTAGCACCAGCACCCACACATCTAGACAACCTACCTTAGCCTTTTTCCGGTCTTCAGGAGTTTTGGAACGACGCATGAGAAATGAATGTTGATTTGGTGGCTCAGGTGGAAGATCTTCTTTTTTAATTGAGCACACCTGAAAAGAAAATGGACAAAAATGCATAAAAAATGAATCATGATGATATCAACAGTATGCAGGGACAGTACCGCTACAGCATCCCTTTCCTCGGTTTTCTCTGGTTTCTCAACACTTGCACTTCTTTCTCGCTTGTGTTTCCTCTTCTTTTTGTGTTTCTCGTCTTCGCTGAAACGGCATCGCTGGCTAGATATCATTAGCAATGCTGCAAACCGTGATAAAAATAAAAGTACCTTTCAGAGGATTCGCTTTCCGAACTGGTGCTTACTTCCTTTTTTCGTTTCCTCACTAACTCGCCACAGTTTGTGATGATTACATCAGCCACTGGACAAGACCTGGCATTCACTTTGAGATGTTCTATTTCAGTCACTACTTCACTACCAGATATTACCTGGAAAGTTGAAATCAGAGGTCGTTTTGTCAACGAAAGGATGTCAACAATCCTACTATACCTTGCCAAAGATGACGTGCTTATCATTCAGATGCGGCGCAGGCTTGGTTGTTATAAAAAACTGAGAGCCATTCGTATTCGGTCCCTGAATACTGTACTAATAAAGGACGAAAAACAAGGATGTAAATCAAGTCAAACATCAATATTAGAACAATTACACCACCTTATTAGCCATTGACAGAAGAAAAGGCTGATCATGTTTCAAAATGAAAGGTTCATCATCAAACAGTCCTCCATAAATTGATTCACCACCAGTTCCTTTGCCGGTTGTAAAATCACCACCCTGAAAAAATATATCTAATCCTAGCATCTATGAATACACAACATGAAAATATAAATAACAAAGTCATTGGAGATTATAAATCCCGTTTTTGAGATGCGCTCCTTTATTCAATTTCCAATAAGAATTGTGGTGGCGCTTCGAATGTGTTTTAGTTTATACAATGCCTTTCTGTAGTCAGCCTATGGACAAATCGGCGCTCTTTTCCTTCCAGACGATCCCGCTACATAATTAACCGACACCGTAGGCGTGGACGGTTCAATTGGCCTAGGCGGATACCACGAATTCGATTCCCAGGTCTTGCGTGTGTGGTAGCGCGGCTCTTACCACTGCACCACATATACCCTTATGAAGACGAAATACAAAATAAAAATAGATGAAATTTCCTCAGAGGTACCCAAAGGTAGCAAGCATACATAAGAACTTTAAACTATGTAAAAGCAATCAGTTAACCAAACTTTTCCTAAGTTTTGACAAGGTATCATGAATGTAAGAGTAGGAAAAGTACCGGGGCTTTACTTTTTTTCAAAAGTTCGATACACCCATAATGTAAGATGATGTATTGAGGAGCCCAATAAGAATTTAAGACGATATATCCCCACCTGAATCATGAAATCCTTTATGACTCTGTGGAAAGTCGATCCTTTGTAATGTAACGGAATCCCACTTTGCTTGCCTAATCCTGCAGCTCCAGTACATAGCTTCACGAAATTTTCCGTTGTCTTGGGTGCTAGAAATGTAATAAAGTCGTTTGGATATGGGTGTTAGCAGAACAAAAGAAAACTATAGCTACTAATTAGGCAACGCCAGGCTCATCATCACACAACTAATTATCAAGCCCTTTTACACAGCTGCCCATGACATTCGTTTCGTCTATTTCCTTCTAATCCACCTAACATTAGCTGGAACAAAAACTGGCCATACAGAATGCTAAAATATGCTCTTTATCGACCTACTGTGAAAGTTTTGGGGCACTCGAGCACGTATAGAGGTTCCCCTCTTTGGAACACATGGAATAAGTATAACTTGAAGTCAAGAAGTCCTTCATCCTATCTGCTCCTACCCAAGATGTTCTATGAGATCAAATGGGAATAGAGGGCCTGAGTAGTTGCCCTATCGAAAACTGACCCTTTTGAAGTTTCGATGAGATTTCGTGATGAAGAGGAGAGACTGCCCGTGATAACAAAGTAAGCCAAATATCACTCACCGACATCATCGAATAGTTCGAACACTATTCTTCCAGCTTCTCGCCCATCGATAGCGATATCGAAGAAACACCGTCGATGGTTTTTCCCCATTGTGAAATTACTACTACAACAGAATAATTAAGGAAAGCTGCGTTGAATCAGAAGGAAGACACTTGCGACACAAAAGGATAGAAACACATCCTTATCTGGACGAACAGGACGGAGAGAATTTCACAAGGAGATGTCTTGACAATTCAGCAAACAAAATGTCAAGTGACAAAAGCAAGAATGGAGAGACCACGGACAAAGTCCCACGAACGAGTAAATGAGAGCAGTAGCCGTTTTTGAAATGGCGGCGCCTGTTGCGGTGAGTGTACTCACGGACTTGTGCTGCTACAGTACTATGGAACGAAGCAGCCTGCACTAATCTCCGGCCCTGCGACCTCAACAACTGGAAAGAGCTGTGTTGCGGGAATTGGGAAGAGACCTAGTCCATTGCAAAGCTGCTCTTAAGTAGGAAGCTCGGTTGGTCTGGGCGGTATTGATCCGAGATCTGATTCACTGTGGCAGCGGCGCCACTAGGCACTACGCCATCCGTCTTGTCTCTTCCTTCTTTGACAGACTTAACTGGGAAAAAATGAGTTATCAAGGCAGTCAATTTCCTGGGAGCAGGCAGAGCGTCCATGGCTCTCCTCTTGGGCCTGGGCTTCACTGGGACTTCAAAGCATTGCTTGTTTTTTTGGAGCTCTAATATTCCATTGCCATATGCAAATTAGAAGATAGGCATAGATTGAGAGCTCTTCTGTTTGCACAACCGATATGTGTTTTAGCAAAAGCCCCATGGATATTCATCCCATCAGTGAGATGAAGCTTCAAGCGATCCATTTGGTTGAAGGATGTCCGTCAGCGCGGTTGGTAAAATTTCATTGGAATTATTTAGCAGGTTCCATTTGCACCTAAACTGTGGCTATCCATTTGAGATGTGAAATCTGATTAGAGCAGCATTTTCGCAAGGTCTGCTCCACCCATAATTCGAATTTGGGCTCAGGCATCCTGTGAGCCCAAGTAGGGGAGTTGATTCGGAGGCACCGGTTACGATCAGCCGACTCTTAGGTTTGTGTACAGGGGGATGGGGACGAAGGTGAGGGNGGGGGGGGGGGGGGGGGGGGGAGGGTGAGGGACATCCCTTAATGGCTCCTTCTTGACCCTTTTTTGGAGCGGAAAACTGAATGGAAGCTGAATATCCTCTCAGGGGAAGAATTTTGTTAGCCAACCCCGGCTGAACTTAAGCGGATTCTGGACGAGTCATCTAGTTTTTAGGAAGTTTTTGGAGTGGTAATCATTCCTCTTATACCGATTGTTGTCATCATTTTATTGCTTCTATGGGAGAAATTTCGTCCACGAGAAGATAACTGTAAGTGCTTACAACTCTTTGATTTCCATTAAGAAGTTTTTATGGGGAATGAATGGAAATGCACTGGGCAACTTTCACAATCAGTAGCACCGTACTTTACCATAGCTTTACGCGGGAGAATTTTCGTTTATTTTGTGCGCGTAAAATCGTTACCTATTATAAAGCTCACGTCTTGATCAGACCAGCTCAGAACGGCATACAAGTTCAATAGCATGTAAACTTCTACGGGAAATACAGGACAAATACAAACCGAGACCAGTGTTCATACAACACTGAGCTGTTCCTTAAAAGGTCAGGGTGTGTTACCTTGAATAATTGGGTCAGAGATTTGAAACTCAAATTTATGGGACAGCCTTGCACAGCCGTAGTCACATTTGGCCTTGGTCATTTAGTGAGCGTTCTACACATCTTATTTATTTATTTATTTAAAATACCCACAAAGGTGCACTTCAATAACAAACAAGGAAACTAACAGGAACAAACTTAAACAGCAAAAAAGTCAGGAAAAATGCACAATAAGAAAAAC